CATGAATGTCATAAATTCAGGGTGCGTGATTTTGAACCACTCATCAAGTCCTGTGGTTCAAAAATATCAATACTCACCAGAATCCTTGGGGAAATTTTAAGAAAGGAAACTACTATTGAGTCCCTTCCAACTTGCAAACCTCCAGAAGTTTCTCTGGCAACTGTGTTTTCTTTTTAAAGCTCCACAGCTGTTTCTGTTACAAGCAGCTGCCATAATCCCACATTTGAGAACCTCTACTCTGGTCAAACACTGTCATTTTACAGAGAAAGAAGCAGACACCACAGCAAGATTGATAGAGTGACTTTTTAATGAACAACAGAGTTCACTGCTAATTTGCTTGGGACCAGCCATGACGGTGTGTGACCCACCACAGCACGGAACACACGAGCGCTCAGGGGCATGGAAATGAGAGCTGATTGAAACAGCGAGGGCCACTTAGTCTCAGGTCCCCTCCCTGAACTCCCCACTGACCAGGGCGGATTCCCCACAATCAATGCAACAGGACAATGTTGCTAAGCCTGGACCTGGGCCAGTCTGTCCCTCACAGCCTTGCCCCAGGGCTCCCACCCCGTGAGCCCACAGCAATCATGCCAGGATGCTCTGATGCGCTCAGCCTGGGCACTCCCGACGGGACTGGGTGAGAGGCGAGTCTTTGCTTGGGGAAGGGGCAGCGGCCTGTGCTCTGGAGCTTGTTCAGCAGCCGCCATGACGTCTGCCCCCAAACAACACTCAGCACTGTCAAGAATCTGGACGCCACCTCCTACAGCTCCCCGAGGTTCATGCATCTTGGGGAGTTTCCTTTACCTTCAGGATCCGCACTCTCCAGTTGAGAGAGCTCTGGACTGACATGCAAAGCTGCAGACAGACATCGGCGGGTATTTATAACTGTGTATTTGGGGCTGTGGGTCTGACTCAGGGCATTTTACTAACCAGCCTCGGTTCCTCTGCTGTAAAAATGGTGAGAGCTGTTTGACAGAGTTCTGGGGAGAATCAGGGATAATGGATGTCATGAGCCTGGCTCAGAGCTTGATAAAAAACAGATATTCACCAAAGGCTAATTTTATCAATTTTTAAAACACTGTCTGCTGACACTGCCAGATCTCTCCAAGGGGCAAATCACCCCCTTTTCCACAAGACTACTTTGACTTCACCAGTCCCCTCTTCAGAGAACTCAAGTGTTTGCAGCCTGAGACCAGTCCCTCCTGAGCCCAGGGAGAATCTGTAAAAAAACAATTCTATGGATCTCATGACCAAGACCCCAAAGAGCACAAACTCAAAGGAAAGGAGAGGACTGATAACTTTGCCTGCACTGAACTGTAAAGCCTTCACACACAAACTATACACGAAGATGCCACAGACCCGAGAAACTTTATGGAACACAAATAATCAACAAATGCGTAATCTTCAGAATGCAGAGGGGACTGCTCAGGACCAGTAGCACAAAGACAAGCACCCCCAAGAGAACAGGCAGGAGTGAAGAAGGCAGTGGGTAAGAAGCAGCGCTAGGTGGTAACGATGTACTTAGAAAATGCGCGGGCCGGCTGCCAGGGGGAGCATGACCTGACATCGTCAACGCACCCGCACCTCATCAGGATGCACAGCACCGTGCAGGCTGATACTATTGGGGGTGGGCAGGGCGGGGAGGGTCTTAGGAAACAGCACCTCCTCCCCTCCCGATTACCACTAGTGGGAGAGTCAATTGGTGAAAATCACTTTAGAAAACGGTGTGAATTATCAGCTAAAGTTGAATAGAAATACACCCTATCATTCCCTCCCGGCTCACTACCCTGCAAACTCTCTCCCTGAGGAAACACAGAGGCGTGTGCTACAGCCCTGGGCGCACGTGCAAGCAATAGACACCATTAGCACTGCAAAACAACGGGCTGGGGAAAACCGAACTTTGAAAGGATAATACGGTAGGGATCCAATTATAGAAGCTGTTGAGGGACACGTGCGTGTTATTAGTATAAATAGGAAACCGTGGATGAAATTTGGACCAGGAGGAAGTGGTTTACACTGTGTTGTGCATTGTGTTTACACTGTGTGTTTATAGGTGGCTTACATTGTAAATATTGTGTTTACAATGTTTTTATTTTTTAAACAGACAAAAAGAAACATTTCCTAAGAAAAAATGGCAAAATGTTCACCTGTGTTAATTGAGAGGATGGAATCATTTCAAGTGTCTCTTTTAGGCTTATTTGAATATTTGAAATATATTATGTTTTTTTAAAATGAAACATCTAAGAATCAATCCACCTGGGAACAATAAAAGCACAGGAATGAGAACCATGGCTAAGCGCTAGGTGGGGGTACAGACTGATGAAAGATGGGCCCCAGGAATTTGAGCAGTGACAGGTCTCCACAATGTTTATAGGGGTGGAGGCACAGCTATGTGCATCTGTCAAAAATGCACCCTTTCAAAAAGGTGAATTGGGCCTCCCTGGTGGCACAAGGCAGCCACTGCAGCATGAGTTCACTCCCTGGCCAGGGAGCCACCCACGTGGCGCTGCAGACCTCTCCTGTCTTGCCCGCTGCTCCCCTCAGCAGTGTACTTTGGTCAATCTGCCTGTTCTGCTCCCTACTCTGGTGAGTCCTCTCACCCCCCACACCTCTGGCCTGTACCCCAGTTCTTGTATGCATAAATAAATAAATCTTTAAAAAAAAGAGAAAGGAACGAAAAAACTGACTGGGAGCTCTGAGTCTGGGGGAACAGGTGTCCCAGCTTGCCCAGGCCAGAAGAGCGCACGGAGATATGGCAGGTATGGCGCTAAAACAGACCCCGCTGCATGACTTGCTCTCTACTCTTTATCCACGGTTTGAACCTGTCAACGTTGAGCTTCCCTAGAGCGGACCTGACGGGACACTGAGGGGACCCTCTTGTGTCACAGACTTAGGGTTTTCATCTTGGGCCAATCAGAATCCCGAGAGAAGCAATCCAGCCTCTCAGAGAATCAAGGCGTGTGCGCCAGGGTTGTGGAATCCTTCAGGGACAGTATCCTCACCACCCGAGTTACCCAGAAAGCCAACTTGGTGCCCCTTATTACAGACAGAACACGTCAGGTGGGACCTGACTTCTCACTGGGCAGAACAGACCAGACCTGGGGAGCTGGGCACCATCCCCTAGGCCCGCTGGAGCTGAGCGCGGTTACTGACCATGGCCCTGGCGAAGGAGCGGAGGTTGATGGTCCCACCACGAGAGGGCGCCGGGTCAGAGCTGGTTGAAGGCAGAAGGCGTGTGTGTGTGTGTGTGTGTGTGTGTGTGTGTGTGTGTGTGTACGCACCCACAAATTATTAAGCAACTTTGAGCGCCTTGGTTATTTATAAATCCTTCAGTTATTAAGACAGCGTTATTATAAGGGGTGTGAGATGTGTGGAAACAGGTGTGCCTCGTGTGAAATTCACACCAAGGCGAACACAAGCTGAGAACCCCGACAAGCAGATTCTCATCTGTCCTTATAATCTCACCCCAACTCTTGGCCTCACTTGGAAGCCAAGAGTGGGGCCAGCAGCCCCTGCTTCTGTTAGTTTTGTTGAGGGACCTTACCTGCTCCAGCCTCCACAACAAAGCACCACACACTGGCTGGTTTAGCACAACAGAAATGAATCCTCTCACCAGCTTGGGTCTGGAAACCCTAAATCGAGGTGTGTGCAGCCTCTGAGAGCTCTGGCAGGAACCGTTCCTTGCTGTTTTCAGTTTCTGGTGTTTGCTGGTAATCCTTGCTGTGCCGTGGTTTGTAATGGCCACCTTCTCCCAGAGTCTCCACCTCGCCTTCCTCTGAGCACAGCTGTCTGTGTCCTGATGTCTCCTTTGCACAGGACACCAGTCATGTTGGGTTAGAGACAACCCCCACTCCCACCCCTTGACCTCATTTTTTTTTTCTATTTATTATGCATAGAAGAGCTGGGATACAGGCCAGAGATCCGGGGTTGGGTGTGTGTGTGTGTGTGTGTGTGTGTGTGTGTGTGTGAAAGGATTCACCAGAGACTGAGCGGGGAGCAGAACAGGCAGGCTGACTGAAATACACTGCTGAGGGGAGCAGCAGGCGAGACAGGAGAGGTCTGCTGCGCCAGGTTGTAGCTCCCTGGCCGGGGATCGAACTTGTGCTGCAGAGGCAGCTAATTGCTTCACAGTGCTGCGTCTTAACCCCTTGCACCACCAGGGAGGCCCTGACCTCATTTTCACTTGATCACCTCTGCAAAGACCCCAAACTCCAACTACAGTCACGTTCTAAAGAATGATGGGGAGAAAGACTCAACAGAGTTTTTTCATGGGGCAAAATTCAATCCATAACAAGGCCCATGTGCAGAAAAGAGAGTGTATGGAGGAGCTAAGGTTGCAGGAAAAACAAGAGCACAGAGTATCATAATAACACAAGAGCAGTTACGACGTGAAAACCGCATACTGTAATTTTTACCAAGATAAAGGATAGTATAACCCAAATGACATTAAATCCACTACATCTGATGTTTTCCTATGACATTTGATACAGAAAATAAGCCAGGACAAGATCCATAAGTGCTCTTGGCCAAAAAAGTATCAGAGGGTGACTAAAAAGATTGTCACGGGACTCTTAATGGAAAACACTTGGGAACTTGCATTCCTGGGACATTTGCACAATCAAACCCACATCCAAGGAACACAAGCATTCACGACACGCACAAGGCCACCCCTGCTTTGAGTATCCCCACCAGCAGAGTGTCATCCATTCTGTGGAAACTTCACGGCCCCGCAGGCCCTGGTTCCAACAGGCCTCGCTTCAGCCCAAGTGCCCCCATGCTGGCCGCATGACGTGGGGCAGCTAGACTGCCCAGAACATTAGACAAAAGCATAAACCAAATGGCAGAGCTCTTCTCTGTGCTGAGGCTCTCCCGCCAGTAACAGGAAGAACAATAAACCTCTCAAGGTGCAGTGGGGAGGGCAGGCTTCTCACAGCCAGCGGGCTGCTTGCTGCTGCAGAAGAAAAGGTGCTTGGCTGAGCTGGGCCTGGGAGCAGACTCACCATGTTGGTGTCAGTGTAGTGAATCAGTGTCCGTTGTACAACCTGCAGCCCGTCGTAGAGGAGGATCAGGATGGGGTGCACCAAGTAGCACGCGTAGCTGATGCTGGCCAGGAAACCCCAGATGTCCCAGGAAAGCAGCCGGTTCACAGGACCTGCAGGAGGGAAGAGGCACCAAGCCGATTTCAGAGTCACTGGCCCTCTGCTCCCGATGAAGCCCGCACTGCGTCACATCGCACCCGGGGGCTTCTGCGTACAGCCCGCAAACTTTCCCTAAGGTCCTCATTTTAATATTTAAAAGAATATAGCAAAAAAAAACAACTTGCAATTGCAGGAATAGGATATAATGAGAGATGTTGGGCCTCCCTGGTGGAACAAGGGGTTAAGTCTCAGAGCTATGAAGCTTTCTGCAGCCATTGCAGCACGAGTTCTATCCTGGGCCAGGGAGCTACCCACATGGTGCAGCAGACCTCTCCGGTCTCCCTGCTGCTCCCCTCAGCAGTGTGTTTCAGTCAGTCTGCCTGTTCTGCTCCCCACTCTGTCTCTGGTGAGTCCTCTCACCCCCTGCACCTCTGGCCTATACCTCAGTTCTTGTATGCATAAATAAATCAAAATAAATCTTTAAAAAGAACATGCGAGATGCTAATGCTGAGTTTACAGTGAGTTTGCTTTCTTAGCATAAGTTCAAGCCCAGAGCACAGAACATTCCCCAATCAGAACTAGACACCAAGTCCTTTCTCTAGCCTCAGGGCTGGTTCTCATGTGTTGCTCCGAGGACGAGCCACTTAACCTGGCCGCTCGGACTCCTCACCTGTCCGTGAGGACCTTGCCTTCCATCACCTTCCAGGTCCCTTTCAGGACAAATATTCTGCAACTTGGTGTAGCTGCTTGACTGCTGTCCTATAAGATAACTATCTGCCACAAGACTATTTAAATTAATTAACATTAAATACAATGGCAAATCCCTCTCTGAATAGGACCCGCTGAGATGTGTAGTGGGGTGAGTAGTGGTCCCCCAAAAGGGAAGTGCACCCTGGAACCTCACATGGAATAAGGTCCTTCTTTGCAGGAGGAATTATGGGAAGGAACTCCAGGCGGGTATGACCTGAACTCTTGACCCCGCTGCTGGTCTTTTTTCTCACTTCATTACCCTGCCTGAGTTTCCTCTTCCAGCTTCTAAACCAACTGTGAGAGAGGCTGCCAGTCTTTCTTTCAGGGCCTGCATTTATACATGAACCCGTGCAAGGATCTAAAACAGAATATGTATATCAATACACCAGTTGATGTTTGGGGGTCACTATCATAATTCATTGACATTCCAGCACCCTGGGAGACCTGGGACCCCACATCTTCACACTTGTGGCCTCAGGAGGACCAGCCTGTGAGCCTGGAGCCGCGCCTGGGCATCTACCTCTGTAGCCGTCGGCACACGCCAGCACCACCCAGCCCATGGCCGCCTCCCTCAGGGCCCGGTGGATGGCCTGGCAGAGGGCAGTGAGCTGGGCAAGGAGCTGGCAGAGGCGTCGTCCACCGTGTACGCCAGAGCGACCACGACGAGCAGGGTCAGGGCGGCGCAAGTCCACCCCAGCAGCGCCTGCACCTGCAGGAAGGAAGGTGCTTCAGAGCCGCCAACTTCCTTCTCTGTGTGCCACTCCTGCCACCTTGCCAACCTGAATCCGTGCCCGAATTTGACTAAAACAGAAGTTCAGAGTTGTGGTCACCAGGGGTTACAGTTGGGGCAAGGCAGGGACAGTAGGGTGGGTGGCTTGGTTAAACAGCAACAGTAGATCGAGATGGGGTCGTTCACGCCAAGCCCACCAAGACTTGATGTCTAACCCAACCGCAGTGTCCGCCTCTCCCCAAAGGGGAGTTTTAAAGCAGTCACCCCAGCACTTCCCGGTCAGCACTAGGAGGTCACCTGCACGATGAGAAAACCCCCCTCCCCATCCCCCAAGAGAGGGTTTTCAGCTTTGCCTGAAATAATCCTCTCTTTTGCTAACAACCTTGTCCCACCCTCCTGCTGACGATCAAACACCTTCCATTTTGTGCGAGTTCCCTGCAGAGCCTTCCTACTTGCTAAATGAGGTGCTGCTCAGAGGCAGGAGGGATCCTTACCTTGGTTTTGAGAATGCTTGCCCGGTGGCTTGGGTGCATGAAAATGCCCAGCAGGAGACCCACGAGGAGCGGCCAGAACCGGCAGTAGGGCTTGGTGTAGAACTCCACGAAATACAGCACAGTCACGTCCTCGCTAGGAGACACAGGAAATAGCCAAAGGGTTAGGTTTGATCTGGTTATGGGAAGGGGAATCCTCAGATGTCTGCTGGGGCAAAGAGAAGTTGGGGTGGACATTTGTTCATTTCCTGGGTGATGATCCACGAACGGTGACCTCATGAGGCTGTGTTAGGCCACGGCCGACGGGCAAAACTTCTCCCCTGCCTTGGGCCATCGGATTCCAAGGAAATGTGGTGACCATGTTTATTTATGCTCAATCATGGTTTCTGGTGACTCTGGAAAGGGGTTTTTTGTTTGTTTGTTTGTTTGTTTGTTTGTTTTAAAGATTTATTTATCTATGCATACAGGAAAGGGGGTTTTCAGAAGTGAGCCTCTTCTGAAGAAGCGAACATCTCATGGAAGCTCTGACAACATGGCCTTCCAGACACACCCCTGGCGATTCTGATTCAATTGAGATGATTGTGCTGTTGCTTTCTGAAATCTCTGGGCTGTCAAAATTCTATGGGTGACTCTAATGCACACCCAGAGCTGAGAACCACTGGCCTGGACAGGAGCGAGCCTCCTGGGTCAGCTGGCCATACCCACGCAGGCCGAGGGGCAGGATGCTCCCCGGGCATTTCTTCACTCCATGCCCCTCACAGACATACTGAGCATCGTGTCAGGCGCTGTTCTGGGCTGTTTTGTATCAGTGAGGGCTGCTCAGGTGACCCTGGCACAGATCCCCAAAGACAGTGAAGGGGCAGTCCTGCCCAGATTGAAAGGAAAAGCATTCTGGGGTGAGGGAACAGCACGTGCAAAGGTCTTGAACGTGTGCTTTATGGGAGGAGGTTAGCACCAGTGCGATTGGTCCAGAATCTGCAGAGGGGCGTGAGAGAGGAGGTCAGACTGGGATTCTACTCCGGAGCATTGGCGGCCCTGGAGGAATGTGAGCAGGTCACTGGCCTGGTGAGATTCCCATTGCCAGCACTCTGCGGCACTGAGGACAGAGGAGAGTGGTCCTGCCGGCTTTCTGTTGCGCATACTTCACTGGGGAAGCAAAATTACATAGTGGGCAAAGCGCTAGCTTCAGTTCACCCCTATCCCACTTACTACTAGCCATGTGACTTGAAGGGGGAACCCCAAATTCCTGCTCTCCATTCCCAACAGGGCTCCCCAGCAGAATTTCTCCACTGGAGAAGAGACACAAGGCAGCCACGTGGGGGCGCTCCTTGCCTCCGAGAAGCATTTCATTACACCAATGACCCAGTGTAAGTTGAAAGCTTCGGGAATTTAGAAACAAGGAGTCAATTTTCCCATCCAGGCTCAACATTCCCACCCAGTAGTTCCTTGAAGCGATGCGTAAGTGCAAACAGTCCTCCCCAGGGGCTCTGGCATTTCTGCGGGCCTGCAAGGGCCTGGGTGGGGGTATAGTAGGAGGTACCTTGCTTCTGACAGAGCTGCGACAGGAAGGTGATAAACCAGTGTGAGCGGCAGTGAGTGGCAGTGAAAGATGCCAAGAAGAGTGCAGCTCCCAGGAGGAGAAGGACATGTTTACTTCTGCAAAGAACAGAGGAACAAAGGTCAGAGCACATTGACAGGAGCGCCCTTCAGTTTCCTTCCCGGCAAAATGTGTAATGGTATTTTTTAATTTTTTTTTTTTTTTTTTTTTTTTTTTGGGTAGAAGAACTAGTGCTATCACCTCGATGGCCTGAGTTTGAGCCCCAGGCCAGGGAGCTGACCCACATATGGGGCAGCAGACCTCTCCTGTCTCATCTGCTGCTCCCCTCAGCAGTGTCTTTCAATAGATTTTCCTGTTCTGCTCCCCACTCTGTCTCTGATGAATCCTCTCTCTCTCTCTCTCTCTCCCCCTCTCCCTCACACCCCAAAATGTGTGATGATAAAAGGCTCAAAACCCTGCCGATCAGAGGCACTTCCTGCCAGGACTGCCTTTGAGGGAGGCTGACGTGAGTGGTGTGGCTGTGGCTGAGCAGGGGAGAGCTGGGCTGGCGTGGGAGACTCTGAGTTAGCCTTTGGACTTGACATTTACTATCTGCCTGACCTTCAGCAGGACATAGAACTTGAGTTTCCTCATCCAGACAGGGAGAGCAACGGCGTCCTTGACTGTCCAACCCTGACATTTACTGTGCAGACCAAAGTGATACCAAGCTCAGGAGTGTCCCTTGTCACCTACGAAGTATTATATGGACATGAGTGGTGGTTATTTGGGGAGAGTTGGCTGTCAGGCGCAGTGGGACACAGGAGACACAGGCGCCCACTGCAGGACAGGGACATAATAGGCTAAGAGGGGCTGTCTGGGGGTTCCCCCCACCTTAATATAGTCCGAGACAAACACCTGGCTGCAGGTGGTTCATGTGGGAGTAGGACTGTCAGGCATGGGTGGTGGAAAAGGGAGGCAGGACAACATGAGGATACAATGCATTTTTCCAGAATGTTCACATTATGAAATACACTGAAAACTGTGCTGGGAAATGAATGAGGGAAGCATTTTCCTTTTATTCCCCCCACCAACACCCCTTTGCTCCTTTCTCCCTCCCCTGTCCCTCTTAGCCTCAGAACCCTCACTTCAATTATGAGTCACCACCATTTTACTCATTTCGTAAGTATTTTACTTTGTCAGATTGCCCCCATGTAAATGTCCAATGTTTGTCTCTGTCGTTCTGACCTGCTTCACTTCACATGATCCCCCAAAACCTTCCGTGTCATCCACGAGATGGGTAAACACCAAAAGACTAACAGCAAATTCACCTTTTTTTGAGGGAGTGGGTTTACAGTGACCTTCGCCTCTCTTCGCCCCGGTATTTTCTGAAATTGAACATGTACTTTAACAACAACAATAACAAATTTTAAAATGGCACCAACAGTCCATAAACTTTAATTTTCTCCAAGAATTACTGATACGGGGCCTCCCCGGTGGCGCAGCGGTTGAGCACTGGGTTGCGAAGCTGCCCGCAGCCTCTGCAGCGCTGGTTCGATCCCCAGCTGCTCCCCGGCCACCAGAGGAGGGTCCCACATGGCGCGCAGACCTCTCCTGCCGCCCGCTGCTCCCCTCAGCAGTGTACCTCGGTCCTTCTGCCTGCTCTGCTCCCCGCTCTGGCTCTGGTGAATTCTCTCACCCTCCCACGCTTCTGACTGTGCCCAGTGCTTGTATAAATAAATAAATAAATAAATCTTTAAAAAAAAAAAAAAGACGAAGAAGAATTACTGAATCCTTAGTGTTTTTCTAAAACTAACAAAAAAATTAAGGGGCAAACTATCCCAGGTGAGAGTGGGTGCTGTGCATGGCTTCACTCTTCCCACAATAGGTCACGAGCACCACAAAATTGTTCTTACCCTTTGACCTAGCAATTCCACCTGCAAGAGGCAGAGTTGTGCATTCAAGACACTCACTCACAGTGATGAAAACCTCGGAGCCATCCCGCAGAGGCGCAGCCTTCAAAATGGCACATGAACCCTAAAACTGACAAGTGTGCGGCGCACGTCAACATGGAAGTGTTGAGAAAGCTGAGCGCTAGCTAACACACAGGCACGGTGATGGTCTTGGCAAGGCCACACCATGGCACAGACTGGACAGGAGACCTGTCCCTCGGGTGCAGGGTCCAATCTCTCCAGGAGGGATGGGGTGGGGCAGAAGCGGCTTTATTCTCCGGAACCCTGGAGAGAATGGCCCCCAGGCAAGTGAAAAAGAGACACAGGTTAAGTGTTTCCCACCAACATGAACAGTCAAGAGCAGGTCTCCGTGGGGAGCTCTGCACACACTCAAGGCCTGGCAGCCTCCCGCGTCCTCTGGCAAGTCTCTCAGGGAGGACACTGCCTGTGTCCCAACCAGTCAGCCCCGGGAAGAGACCATACTCTCCTCCATGGCCCTGGTCACAGGTGGCCCACCCGGGGCCCACTCAGGAGGATGCCGGGCACCCTGTGAAGCTGCAGGGACAGGAAAGAGCCGAGGGCCTGGTTGGTAAGAGCTTAGGTGCATCCCCTTGGGCCCCCTTCAGCAACTCCTTCTGCAGTGGCACATGCAGGCAGATGCAAAATGAGAGCTCGTTCCCTTTCCTTCCCTCCAAGTTCTGGTGAGGTCACAGGGGCCTTAGGGAAGTCACCTGTATATACCGACCTGACTGCTCTGTCTGATCTGACTTGGAAAGGAATAAAATTCACTTGGGGGCATGTGATGCCACGTTGTCTTTCCAGACAGGATTTCTCTGTGGAGATAAATAAGTGTCTGCCCCCTCAGGGATGGAGCAGCCTCAGCTGCATCCGGGACATGCGCCCACACGGCTGACCCCTCAGTGCCCACTGCTCCCTCCCACCACCTTGCAGAGTAATGGCCCCTGCGAAGACAGGTGGGGTTGCACCCACTCCTTCACAAGAGGCCAGTCCCCCTGCTCACAGCCACCTTCCTACAGCATCACGACTACTCCAGAACATGCCAGAAGAAAGGGGCCCAGGCACAAATGGGCCCTTGGAAAACAGGCCACTCCATGTGAAGTGAAACCCGCCCTGCGCCCATCTGCCCCTGGCCAGCCCATGGCATGGACTTACCGCCCTCTGCACTGACAGGAAGTTATTTAGCAAGAGCAGGTTCCTCCACCACGCTTGGTGACAGTTATCCAGGTGGGACTTGGGCACTTCCCAGATGGGTCCCCAGGGAACGAGGGAGAACAGCCCCCATAGTGAATACAGGTGAAGAGGCTGCAACCTGGCAGAAGGGGCCTGGAGTGAGGACGTGATGCCCATACAGACCACTGGGCGCAGAGAAGGGGACAGGGCTCCGCAAGGATCGTGCTGGGTGTGCCAGCCTCCCCTTCCCTCAGCTCAAATGTCACACACCCCTGGGGCCAAAGTCTTTTCTTGAGCCAGCCCTTCTCATGCACTGGCTCTGGAGCTGCAGCTGCAAAACCCACCCTGCAGGGCTTTTCACAGAGGGAGCCATGCATGCCGGGCCCTGCCATAGGAGCTTTCAAGATATTTCTAAGCCTCACAACACTCCAGTCACGCAGCTGTCAGCTCCATTTTACTGATGAGCAAATTATAGCTCAGAGAAGTTGGAGTAACTCCCCCAAGGCGTCCCGACCACATAGCAGTCCTCACTAAACCTCATGGACTAGTTCTGGAAACTGCCATTCTGTCCGAGCTAGACATTTTCATCACAAATGATTTTTAAAACGATGATTTTTTAGTGGTCTCTAGTAGGAATAATCACACAATTTTAAGCATCTGGAACATCTACACTCATTTCCCGTAAGATAACTGTTGCTCTGATTTTCCCCTAGAAGTTGGGTTTTGGAGTTTTCTTATAACCTCCAGTAGCTCCCAACTGGTCTCCAGTTTTTCTCCCCTGACTTCCTACAGTCTGTTATCTGCGCTGCAGCCAGGGGTTCTTGCAAAATATGAAGCCTGACCATGCACTCCACTCCTGGCACTCTGCACAGGTCTCTACTTTAGGATAAAGTGGACCTGCCTTTGGGGGGTCCACAGGCCCACCCGGCCATCCCCACCCCACCCCACCTCTCACATCTCCCTCCTGCTGGTCTCGCTTGCTCACGCACTCAGCACTGTGGGAATCTCTGAGGCTCTTTAAGTGCACAGACCACTCTTCCTCTGCAGGAGCTTTGCCAATGCACCTTCTTCCCTCAAGTAGTTTCCTGGCTTGGAACATCCCCTTACTTCCTTCAAGGCTCTTGACAAAGTCACCTTCCCAGAGGAAGACCCCATCTCTCTTCCTGCTCCAAAATATCATTTTGTGCTAAGGGTAAGATTCCAGACCCTTCTCATAAATGTATTTGCATATTGCAACTTAATGTGGCATATTGATTGTCTCGGTTCACCAGGACATAACCTCCGTGTGTCAGTCTATCTGTGTGGTTTATTAGCTGCCTAGTCCTGAGGGCTTAAGACAAGCTGATGCATGGTGTGCCCCCGCCCCGCCTGCCCTGCAAACAGAGAGAGTGGACAAAGGCTCTTATCTCCAGCCTTCTTGGAGGCAAATAGTCCAGTAATGAACCATAATGGGGTAATAGCAGCAAGTGCTTGAATGAGAACATCAACATGGCAGCTTTCCCCTGGGTTTACCTTAAGGAGGGTGAGTTCAAACTGTGTGTAGGGGATGCTTCCCCTGCTTCCCAACAGTGTCATCCCAGGCGGGACTCATTCTCTTCCTGGCTCCAATCTGGCCTTCTTCTAAAAATCCCTAGCTCAAAAATACCACCACCATCCACACAGCAGTCGGATGCTTGCTCATTCGGCCAAGCGTCTGAGTGTCCTTGATTTGCCTCTCTCCAAATGCCCAAGGCCAGTGGCCAGTCCATCTCCTGCTCTCCTGCCTAGATAGTGCCCTTGTTTTGACTCACTGGTGTCCTTGCTTCCATCTTGCCCCTTAAGGTCTTACTGCACCTCCCCCAATTACACCCCCATGCTCTTCCTGCCCCCCACTAATGCTCTATCTGCTGCTAATTAAACATTTCCAGCTCCAGGAATTCCCTCTGAAGCGTGTTTCCCAACAGAAGCCGCCATGTTGTTGGCTTCTCTTCCCAACCCCCAAAGAACCCACCTGAGCACTTATCACCTGAACGCCAGTCCCCCTCCTCTAGACCTCAGGGCAGGACAGGCCACTTAACCCAGTGCCATGCACCCAAAAGATATTGAAAGAATAAGCATCTGCCCTTCACAGGATGAGGCCATATTTAACAGAGCTTAGAAGAAGCCACAAAGGCTAATAGGGGAAAGAAATCAATAAAGGCCTACGCCTTAGGTCATACTCATTCTTAACCTACTTACAGGAAAAGTTATAAAGTACAGACAAGAATAATGACAGCTTATTGAAGGTTAACTATGTGGCCCCCACTTTTCTAAGTCCTCTTCATCTGTTATCTCAGGGAATCTTCACAAGAGTCCAGTGAAGTGAACGCCATTTGTAGGAAAATCAGAGTAAGTTCTTCCTGTAGGGATGCCATCTTAGTTCTACAACCAGTAACAGGTCTTCGGCCCTGGGGGATATCTCCAGTGTCCCCCTTGTGTTTTTCATGTGTATTAACCTGTACTCGTGATCCAGACACGGCGTCACTGATTTCAGTAGAACAAAGTCGCATGTGGCCTGTTCTCCAGACATGTGGTGTCATTAGTCCCACTCAAGGATCACACGCACAAAGCAGGGCCCAAGGAGACTCCTGTAAGGCAGGGCAGTGTGGATCCTGCCTCGACCTGAAGCCTAACCACTGGCTCCTGTACTGAGGACACCAGTATGTAATTTGCTCTTAATTAATAAGTGTAATTAATGGACATGCCTACTGCATTCATCAGATTCAAACCACCTTCTCAATTTGGGGAAACTTACTTGTTCCCACAGCTACACACTCTATTCTCCCCATTTTTGAAATATGAAAACTTAAGCACAGAAAGGTTAAGACACTCAAAGTCACACAGCTGATATATCATTGAGCCCTGATACAAGTCCAGCGGACAAATACTGGAGTCAGCGCTCCTCCACTTCATTTCACCAGCCCAGAAGATTGTTTCAACACCCGTATCTCGTGAGAGTGCCATGTAACGAGAGGGGCATGGACTATGAGCAATGAGAGCAGGAGTCAAAGTCAGCAACTAAGCATGACTTAGAAAATATATAAATGGGGGGGGGGTTTGGATTACATGAGAAGAAGTTTCCTTTTGTCTCTAAACTTCTACTGTCTTATCACATTCCTGTCCCCTGCTGTCCCACTGCTGCCATGGCCCGTCCCAATTGTTCAGTCCCTTCTGCCCCAGCCAAGCACACGTTCTAGGGATCATTATCCTCTACCTCCCTCTCAGCAGGACAGCCATGGTCAAGCTCCCACCGGCCCCTCTCCTAATTGCATATTATTTTATTTTTATCATTCCCACTAGTACTCTTATTTACAAGACTAATCACTACTCATTTACAGGAGTCATGCAAATTCTTCTGTTGATAGACTCCATGGGAATCTGACAGCACATTTCTTGAAACCTGTCATCCATCAGCTGAGGAATAAGGATGTTTTTGCCAGTGGAAGATACTAGTTTTCATGGGATTTCTCCTAATAGAATTTGAACTATATTAAACCAGTCAAAAATAAAGTGTGTAAAAGGAAATCAATCATGTCTCCCGGTTTATTTTCCTTTGAAGTTTTCTTCAGAAGCAAGCTAAAGACCAAGAACTAATAAATTATTACACTGCAGTAATGAATTGAGGAATTACCTACCTTGTAAGGCGACTGAAAAAGTATCTCAGTACGCTACAAAGGGTTATTCCTTTGTCTGAATTCTGATGCATTTTTAAAAATGACTTTGCATTTCACCAACCACTGAGAGACAAAGAAAAACAGTCACAGGAATTACTTATCAAGGATACAGCTCAATGTGTGAGAGATTCATTTTGGTTGTCTCTATCGGAACACAATAGGTTATGCCGAAATAACTGAGCATCTCCAAGACTTAAAATGATACTGTTGTTTTTCTTGTTCACACTACGTTAGCTCAACTGGTGACCTTGGGTCAGCATCTTCCTCATCAGGGATCCCAGGCTGATGGAGCAGCCACCTTCTGAGAGTTCACCAGTGACTACGGCAGAGAATGAGACAATTGTGGAGGGCTTCAAACCAGCAATTAAATGCTCTAAGTCAGAAGCGAAAAGTTTAATACCAAACCACATCAAGGACGTGTGCCAACCCACCACAGTGGGGCCAGGTATAGAATGTTACCAAGTGCCTGGAGTGGGTGAGCAGTACTAGCATTTCCACACTGGTCTCCTGAGTGACGTCAAGACCTTCCAATTTCCATATTGTCACATCGTTTTCAAAGCCCTTTCACTGATGAGAATGTTTTTGCTTCTCCAGCCACACTAAACTACTTTGGAATAAATGTTTGTTGACTGAATGATGGACTAGATGAATAAACAACCCTGCTAGGTAAAAGGGAAGATCCTACCATTCCTGCCAGCCTAGTCTGGAATTGAGAATGAGGTGGGTTGTCCCAGATCACAGTTAGAATTCTTACCCATCAGCATACCCGGATGACAAAGTCATCAAGCAGCTAAAGAGAGCCAGGCTAGTCCTTCAGGTTATAACCCAATGGTAAGCAAGTTTGTGAGTGTCTTTCCCAACCTTTTGACATTTATACAATAATTCTTGAGTGGGGGGAGGGGTTCCCCAGCAAACTAATGTATTTCCTATTGTGAAAGAGAGGTGTGTGTGTGTGTGTGTGTGTTGGGCAGACTCTCAACAGATCATGGAGAGCAAGAAACATCTTTATTCTTTGCCAGCTAGATTTTGTTGTGAAATGCAGCAAATAGGATTCACTTTAACAGGAGAAAATGTGTAGCAACATCTAACAGAGAACCTGAGATGGGGGAGGGCTGCCTCAGTGCAGCTGCCTCTTACTCGCAGGGAATTGTGAACCAGGGGCCTGAACAATCCTTTCTTTTCAGTCTGACTGGCTCCTCTCTGCCAGCTTGGTTGCTAAGCAAGCCGGGCCCCCCTCTGTGCGTGGGCATGCACTGCCCAGCCTTCAAAGAGGAGACACAGAGAGCGCCTGCAGGAAAACAGGCTCCGAGCAAGAGAAATATTTGCTCTAGGGACAGGCTGGGAAAGAGTGAAATCATGCCGCAGAGATGCATGAAGCCAGCCTGAGACACAGAAAAGGATTCCAAAACCATCACCAGTGATCACGACATCTTTGGTTTTATATGTGAACGTGTCAGAGACTTGGTGCTTAGGACCTGGTTTGGGCCTAAAACAATACATTTAAGCTCAGATTCTCACTCTCCTGGGGGGAGTGAGACAAATGATTTCATCTCCAGAAATCAACTCAGATTCTCATCTGTAAAAATCACACACACACATACACACACACTCTCACAATGGAAACCCAACAGGTGGTCCTTGTTTGCTTTACCCATTGACATACACTCAGGGCCCAGAACCATGTCCGCAAATAGGCCGTCCATAAATCATGGTCGGATGGAGGAATGCTTAGCTTTTTCTTTTTTTTTTTAAATTTAGTTATTCATTTACACAAGAACTGGGGTACAGGCCAGATGCACGGGATGGTGAGAGGAGAACAGGGAGACTGACGAAACGCACTGCTGAGGGGAGCAGCGGGCCAGACAGGAGAGTTCTGCCACGCCATGTGGGACCCTCACTGGCCAGGATCGAACCGGCGCTGCAGAGACTGAAGACAGCTTCACAGCGCAGCGTTCAACCGCCTGCACCACCAGGGGAGGCCCATGCTTAGCTTTTGATAAAATCAGCTGCCATCTACCATGACCACCTCCCTAAGAAGGGATATTTGACCCATAATTGTCAGAGACAAGCCAGTACTCTGGCTAAGAGCACTGACTCTGGAGTCAGAGTGCCTGCCTTTGGATGGTGGGTCCACCAGGAATTACCCTGTTATTCTCAGTGAGGCCGCTCCATAAGGTGGAATAGTATGCAGCCCTACCAGGAATGAATGTGTCACACCCTAGAAAACCTCAAAAGCATCATGAAGGAAACTGAGTACTGAAGGCCACATATCATGTGCCCCATTTATAGGAAATATCTAGAAAAAGTGACTCTACAGATACTGAAAGCAGACTCCCAGGAGCTAGGGAGAAAGAACTGACAGTAACTGTTTAATGGGTGAGTTTTCATTAGGGGATGATGAAAATGCTTAGGGACCCGAAAGGAGTGGCAGTCGCACAAGATTGTGAACATACTTCAGGTCATTTTGTTCCCTTGACGTCGTTGATTTTATGCTATGTGATTTTTCAGCTCATCAAAAGCAAGAAAGAAAAAAATGGGGATTTTAACCATGGGGCCTACAATACAGGGACACCATGAGGATGGAAGGAGGTAATGCCACAGAGCCCTACACACAAGGCCTGACATTCATCAAACAATTGAGAAAGTTTATCTCCTGCTGGTTAATTGAAATAAACATAGATTTATGAATCAGCATGCTGTTTTCTTATTTTTCACATTTCACTGTAGTGAGAACTAGAAACATTATCTTGGATTTGCATTAGTTAATGAACCAGAATTTGAGAATCAGTGAACCAAACAATTTTGAAAAATAAAATCACCTTCTATAAAAGGTCCACTTCAGAAAGCCGCCCTAACCCATCTAAGAAACTGGAGATACAGAGGTGAGGACAACAGTCTGACCAGAGGTAGACAGAAGCAAAGGCCAGGGCGTCACTGCGAACAGGTCATTCAGTTTTTCTCACTAAAGTGAGATTGGCTGCGCACATATACACCCCCCCCCCAACCAAACAGCAACAGGCCCAAAAGCAGAGAAAACTCCTTATTACCCCATCAGGAAAAACGTATCAACCCCAAGGTAGAACGGGCCACTCCGAGAATAAAGGCACGGGGGGGTTTTAAGCACTCTGCTCCCCATTCCAGCACATTATCTGGAACAAACAAAAAACCAGAGTCTTATTGTTTGTTGGGGAAAAACTCGTATTTATCTTTTCAGCAAAAGCAAAAGGAACACCTTCAACTTCCAGCAGAACAGTCGCGGGAATTATGCACGCCCATAATTACTTCAGAGGAGAACCTAGCATGGGAATGAGAGATGGCACCGAGGCACCTGAAGTCCCCAGGCTTTGTGCCCCTCTGTGCTCTCACCTGGGCGCAGGCAGCCCCCTTAGGCCTACAAGAGCATCGCCTGCTCTCGGGCTGGGTCACCGGGGAGGTTCGTTAGCTCCTTCCCCTTAGTTTTGATCTATGTTTGGCCCCCTTTGGCGACAGCACTGCTCTGGATGGCTGTGATTCCGGAATGCAGCACCGGGAGAAGGTCAAGAAACACTGACTAAGAGCCACTGCACAATATTTATGCTTGTTTGCTTTTCCAGGAAGTTTAAAAAAAAAAAGTTGGTTTCTGGCTTCACCAGTCATGATGCGAGGGAGCTCAGCGCTTCAGGGGAGGAAAGCACAGCACTCAGGCCCCTGTACTCACCTGGCAACCAGGTGCCCGGTGCATACCCAGAAGGCAGTAAAGCAGCCTCGGGACAGGCCTGGGACACTCCGAGGTCACAGCTGTGTCTCTAAGGGAAGGCTGCTCAAAGGAAGTCTGCGGCCTCCATCCCATGGCCCCCCACGTGACACGACCCCCTCAGGAAGGAGTCCCTCTTCCTTGTCTGCTCATAAAGGCCAGTGGTTCTGTGCACCCAGATTCAGCCAGGCTGTCATCTGCCCCGTGTGCCCCAACAAGACCCAGAGGAGGCCCAGGACCCGGATGCTGTTCGGAGTGGGGGGCATGTGCGACCCTGTGTCTTTGTGGTCCAGATGGCTGGTGCGTTCTCCTGCCAAGAAAAGCACGTCAGAGCGTGGTCCACGGCCTCCGGGAATCCTGGGCAGGGGAAAAGAGGTCACTGCCCCACTGAAGGCAGCCTGGTCCGCGAGCCCATCGGCAGCACCCACGGGCACCCATCGCCCCCTGCCTGTGATGGGACCCCCTAGTCAGTTCCCACAGCCCCGGGGTCGGTCTCTGCACCGTGACTCCTCTCCCTGCCCCAGGATCCTCCTCTCCCTCCCAGACCTAACCCTGCCTGGTGCCGGATGCTCTGCTATGTTCAGGCCCCAGGATGCCAACGCCTGACCCCCATGGTGTTGAGGGAAGGGGACCTTCGGGTCACTAGGAAACCACAAGAACTGTGAAGCCTGCATTTCACTTGAAATGGCATTTCTGGCCCCCTCCCCCCGCAAGGCGATCCCCATGTAAATAAGTGCCTGCCAGTGCACAGGGGTGGAAAGAGGGGCAGCGGCCAGGTCCCAGGTTTCTAGGCCGCCAGGTGGGTCCCAGCTGGGCAGCCTGTGTCAGCGGTGCCCGTGGGGAGGAGGGCCCAGCTCTGGGGGGAAGGCCCTCGTCCATGTCCTCATGCTCCCCGGGGCAGAAGTGAGTGTGCTGAAACCTTCCTGAAGTTGCAGGAACATAAATACCCGAGAGCACCCCTGGCAGCATCTGGTGGCCCCACCTAGTCCACAGGCTCGTCCACCATCGGCTCTGAAGGTGAGTGAGGAGAACCTGGGCACGGCCCAGGCCCTGGGGCCACAGCACTGGTGTGGGCCGGGACAGCCCGTGAGCCGGGGGACCCTGGGTTTGACCTCTTTACCTGCACAGTCGCCCAGTGCACTGAGCTTCCATCGCTCTGCTTCAGGCAGCAGATGCTTTAAACTAACAGCTTGGTTGGTCATGAAACTAGAGAGAACAGAGGGGCCGGGGCACAGCCACGAAGGGTGCGGGCCTGACAGTGCATCCCCCCAGCTCTCGGGCTGTCCTTCACGGGCCTGTGCCCCCTGCAAAGTGAATTCACTTCTCTTCTCTGTGCTTAAGTTTCCACATGTGCAAACCGGGAGTCAAAGAGGGGCTTCTACTCACAGGACGGCGTGAAGAGCCCGTGGGGAGGCCACAGAGCTGCGCCCGCCATCTTCAGCCCCATTGTGGTAAGAACGGGTAAGCCTCCTATTTAATTGATTCCCTTTAATGTCTTAAACTTTCATTTGACTCATGCCAAGAGTCAGGTCAGTGGCTGGAATTGTGAAATGGGCGACTCCCAAGAGGGAGGCAGCTCTGCGGTCTCGGCTTCTCTCCTGACTCGGCCTGGTGCTCGTATCAGCGCCGTTGCTGAAACATACTCACAGATGAGATCTGCTCACTCCCAAACTCTGGAAATCGAAGAATGCAATAACCAGACATTCTGAGGTTCCAGCCACAGCCATGAGTGTCTCCACGAGTGGCTGTCAGATGCACCTGCCTGAAGGCCCCAGCGTGCCCTTCTACCCAGAGGGACTTTCGGTGCCTGTGTGGTGTGTATGTCTGTGACTGTGTATATGAGCCTATGTGTGTTGCATGTGTGAGTGATGTGCTTGTGTATGTGTAAATGTGTGAGTATATATGTGTGTGCAGGTTCACATGTGCATGAATGTGTGTTAGTGTGTGTGTATGTGTGTGTGTTCCATTTGCCTCTCCACCCGAGCAGGTAGAAACGAAGGGACTGCTCTTGGCTTTACTGGAACCCGGCACAAGCGGCTCTGCTCCTCAGCCTCTCGCTGACTCTGGTTCTGGTTGGCTCAGGTGTGCTCTGCTGCATTTGTGTCCTCGGCGTGGCACATCCACACCCCTGGCATCTCCATGGTTCCGGGAAGCTTCTCTGAGTCACCGTGTAGTGGTGACACTGACCATAGATGCTGTGGCCGTGGGATTGTTCCCCGAGCACGACTGGAGTGACCCCCCAGCTCTGTTCTGACCTCGTCTTTGAGTAGCACAAAACACACTCGACAACTGTTTCAGAGAAATAAAGGCATTTTTAGCGACCTCGCCTTACCACACCGCCAGTAGGCAGAGACTGAGCCGTAAAAGAACAGACCCAGTGTCCGCGGCTGCATTTTGAAGCTGCTGGGCATTGCCTAGCCCCCTGCCCTGCAGGCAGGGTTTGCCGGCTTCTGCTGGCGTCCCCATGACGCCGCCCTTAAAAGCACAGTCTCAGCCCAGGTGAATCCCATCTACCTATGCCCACACCCTATTCCAGGTGCCCGCCATCAGGCATGCATTCAGGACCGCAGGGATCCATCATCTGTCCTGATGGCGGGAGGGCAGAAAAGCCTGACATTTTTCCTTACCCTACACATTGTTTGATGATCCCACTGTCCCCCTCTGCAGGGGCCGAGAGCAAGGAGTTATGAGCTACTTACAATCACTGTCCACAAGCCCTTACTGTAGCTGTCAAGAGTGCCCTTGCCTAGGCTCTGTCAGGCTAAGTTCATCTTGGGTTGGTAGAAATTCAAATTCTCAGGTCCCCCCCCCCCCAACACTGTGCCAGCAGCTTGCAGGGAGGGGAGGCAGGAAGCAATCGATTTACCAGCCCCCCAGGCAACTCCGAGGCTGCTGAAATTTTCATCCACCGCCCTAGGCTGGCCACCAGTGTCTTCGCAAAGGATTTCTTTCGGTGACTAATTCGTTGTGTCCTCAGTTGAGGCTTCTGAGCTTCATTTCAGGAGGCTCTTTCCCCAGCCCGTGGGCTTTGGTTGCAGTTTTCCATCTCACATCTCTCTTGCAGAGAGAGGAATCAAAGATTTAAGCAGCAATGGCACTGTTTAGGGGCTCATTCCCAGAGTTTTGCCAGGAAAGGGGGTGAGAGGCCTGTCAGGCCGGGAATTCAGGAGTCTGGTGGCCTCTTTCACTGAGCCAGGCGTACCTGGTCGTGCATTTCAGCATCTTGGCACCCGGTTTACTATACTTGTAAATCAGATGTTAGAGGTTAACATCAACACTTGTGTAGGGTAAGGTAAAAGGTATCAGGCTTTTCTGCCCTCCTGCCATCAGGATAGACGATGGATCCCTGTGGTCCTGAACACCTGATGGCGGGCACCTGGAATGGGGTGTGGGCATAGGTAGATGGGATTCACCTGGGCTGAGACTGGGCTTTTAAGGGCGGCATCACGGGGATGCCAGCAGAAGCCAAAAGAGAAGCCGAGAGAGAAGCAAGAGCAGCAGAAGCTGAGAGAAGGCCAGAGAGCCCAGAGTGAAGACCTGCTGGGGGCTGGGAGGCCTGCCGGCCTCCCGGCCCTCCAGCACCCCTACCTGCCATATGCCTGGTAAATCCCAATAAAAGCCTGCAAAAAACCACTGAGGAATCTGACTCCTCCGACTCCTCCTTCACCCAGTCTGATGCATCCTAGAAAACCTGCACCGTGTCCATTCCTGACCTTACACAATGTTATAAAATTTCCCAGGGGAAACACCGAGATTGAGTCCCTAAGGGTAGAAATATGGAGCCCTTCAAAGTCAAGCCTGAATAAAATTTACTAACTCAATGTTAAGCCAAGCCCCTTCTTTTTCAGCTGTAAGCTAACCCCGCCCCAGTCCCCACAAGCAGGTAAGGGGGTTGCCTTTGTTCAGATTTATCTACTGCTCATCTAGCACATTCTAATGGTGGGGCCCTGGGCTAACCGCAGTGAGTCACTGAATCCCTGTGTCCTTTAAGAGATCTCAGATAATCTAGCCAAACTAGAAACTAGCTAAGAGATAATGTTTGGGGTTGCATTATGTCCCTCTAAAAGGTTTAAGTCCTAAGCCCTGAGAATTGTGAGTGTGGCCTTATTTAGAAATAAGGTCCTTCAGATGTAATCAACTTAAAATGAGGCCATACTAGACTATGTTGGGCCCCAAATGCAATGTGGCTGACATCTTTATACAAAGAGGGAATTTGGACACAGACACACAGGCACAAATGCCATGTGATGATGGAGGTAGAGATTGGGGCGATACATCTGAAGTCCTTGTTTACTTTGTTTCAGGAAATACAGAGATGTGAGTTGTGGGGCATCTAGGCTCTAACCTGGCTGGTAACCAGTTTATATGGTCACACATGAATTTTATCTAGGCGCCCACTTTGAAGTTACATATTCTTATTCTCAGGAACTCCCACAAAGTCTGTAGGTTGAAACTGTTATTGAGCAACCCTGATATTAAATGGGTTCCTGGCTGTGGGTCCTCACCCGCGCACTTTAAAAGGGACTCATGAATACTCTACTACAGGCACACACAAAGGGTTAATAAAAGGTTTATTTACAAGAGAAAAGGAAATAAGGAAAATGTACAACTCAGGGAGAAAATAGGGAAATAAAGTCTTTAATGCGTCCTACCCGATCCGACGACCTAGAAACCCAAAGTCACTCTCAGAGCTGGCCGGACGCTGCAAGCTGGCGGAGAGCCAAAAATGGGGATCCCCAAAGCCCACGTGTCTGCCTTTTATATCCACCTGGCTGCTGAACCCCACCCTCAGGTCCTAGCCACCTTCCCTTGGGTGGTGATGGGATTTGGAGTTCCCAGTGTCTTTGGCTTTGGCCTGGGGTGGGGGTGGAGTCCACAAAGCCTATATGGAATTAGCTTTAGGACATCCTTTTCCCCCTAACAAAACTTCACAGCCTCCTGTGGCCTCCACACTGTGTGGGTTGTTTTTTTTGCTTTTTTTGTTTGTTTGTTTGTTTTTTGCCTAAAAGCAATACCCTCTGACCTGCCCAGAATCTCTTTCTCCCTCTTGGCAATACTGAGCTCAGTTCTCGGTTTGTTAGTTGCAGTCTCCACCTGTGAACTCCCAGTTCTCACTCCAGATGTTTGCACAAGTAGCCTCTTGCCTGCTATTGCTAAGCTGGTGGCTGCCACATATGTAAAGGAAATATTGGTGACTCCATCAAAAAGCTTTAAGGAGTAGCTGACAAATCCATTCCAGATGGGGACCTTTTCCCCTGGGCAGGCAGTCTTGTTTCTATCAGCTGCCACTGTGCTAAGCCAGCAAAAGCCCTGGGCAGCCAGGACAAAGTTCCACAATCCACCCAGTGAGCTCTTACTGTCTCTTTCCATTTTCCAAGTCCACAAGAAAACTAGCATCCTGTTTTTCTCCAAATGTTACTTCCCCCAAATATCTTTTTATTGCTAATAATTATTTCTTTCCTTCCACTTTATTCTAGTGTCAACTATGACTAATAAAATTAGCATTAGCTGGCTAATAAGTAAATCTCAATAATAGGGAGTCATGTGTTGACTTGCGATACTAATAAATGTTGAATTTAACAACAGCTCTGCAAATTTATGTTTCAAGACTATTTAGGGCTTATCCAACAAGAATTCAAGTTGATATCTGATTTATGAAAATTGGTTTTCTTTTCAACAATACATAAAATATTTGACTAGGTAAGTAGGTAGGTAGATAATGTGCCCGAGCTCTGGAGATAATCATAAATTCAGAGGACCATTTACGATTATTGAAAATTTATATCAACACTTTAAAAGAGGGCTCCAAATAGCATGTGTGATAGTATGAGATAATGAGAAATCAACATTTGGGCTTCATTCCTCTCCCTGGCACAGCACTCCCCAAATCCCTTGTAACATCCTGAGTGGGAGGAGTTATTTGTAGCAAGCACTTTTTGCCCAGATCTGAGCTTATGCTGATAAGGTCAGTCTTGGAGAATGGGGCTGTGACAGGAACCAACGCCATGATTAAATCATATTTCAGCCCCACTCCCACCCTCTAGGGAGGAGAGAGGCATTGGGGGTTCAGCTAATCACCAATGCCAGTGATTCAATCAATCAAGCCCAAATAATGGAACCTCCATAAAATTTCTAGAAAGACATATGGAGGTACAGGAAGAGTTGCACTCAGGTGAGGAGGCGGCCCCCTGCCCTTCCCGTACCCTTGCCCTGTTCAACTAATCCATTTGTCTGTTCTGGAGATTTCTCCTTTAGATTCAACCAGAAAGAGAAAGGAAAGTGTTTCCCTGAGCAACATGAGTGGTTACAGCAAATTATGGAATTTGAGCAGCGGGTCCTGGTACCTCCTGATTTATAGCCAAGTGGGAAAGAAATGTCACCTGGTCCTCTATTTATGACTGGTGTCTAAAGTGGGGGACAGTCTGTGGGATGGAGCCCCTAATTTGTGGCATCAGCACAACCACCAAGTGGTTAGTGTCAGAAGTGCTTCATCTGAGGGGGAAACCCACACCTTGGCTGTTGGAAGTGTTCTGTGAGTAGAAAAACAGCGTTTTCCTTTTAATGTAGCGTGTTCGTTCTTGTTTGGCTAACCAGAATAAACACAGATGATACCAATGGTAAAAATCTTGGGCTTCCAAGTTCTTCCTTTGAAAACTTAGAAAGACTTTGAGGTGATGAAATCAGTTTTCATGTGACCTACGATGGGTTCCGACTTCTGGCTAAGCTCAGGAGTGACTGCAAGGCTCTAGACTTAGAACCAGGCTGAAATTTGTCGCCCACCCCTCTCTGTACAGAAGAGGCTGAAGCTTGGGGAAATTAAGTGACTTGCCCAAGATCACACAGCTGGGAGGAGACAACCAGGAACAAATGCTGGGGTCCCCATGCTAATCAACACAATACAAGAGTTCACACACTCCTAGTTCACAATGGCCACACGTGGGCTGCTGCAGAGAAGGCAATATGGCAACCAAACACCACCCACCTCCTTTTTTCAGACCTCACCAGGCAGTGGTTGGGGTGGGGGTGTGAAGATTATTTAGATGCACAATTCTATTACATAATAATCTGTCTCCTACTTTCTCTTGCCTTTCTCCTTCCTAACTACTCTGTTCCTCTCCTCCCAAGGCCCCCAAAACTCCATTTTCTTGCCTCACTGGATTTATCAGGACGAAAGGCAGGTTCAGTCCTGCAGGAACAGTTGCTTTCAGCTCCCAGGAGTTGGGAGTTTCCCAAACTTACACTGAAGCAAGAGTTTCACTGGGTCTTCCTCTGGACCTACCCAGCTGAGACAGCACAGTCACGTCCTCCTTGGAACAAGAATCAGGGACACACACGCCCATGCTGTAGTAGGCGTCACCCTGGGGGACACAATGCCACAGTGTTCTTTAATTTTAGGGTTCCTAGTTTTGAAAAAGACATTTGTATTTAAATTTCTCTCTGCACGGGCATCTCCCTCACTGTTCTGGGAAGTGCTCATCTCCCTATGTCTTTGCATTGGGGAAAGCAGAGCTTAAATCTGCTGTCTTCATGTACTTGCAGTCCCTGGTAACCTCCCTAACTGACCTTCTTACTTTCTCCAACCTTGTCTTAGCCAAGCTGTTTAAGATGGTGTCTAAAGCCTCAAGCCTCATGAAGGAGTTCATCACTTCTGTAGGGTTGTCCCTGTTCTGGAGGAGGTGTACACATGTGTTTTTTTAAAAAGATTTATTTATTTATGCATACTAGAGCTGGGGTACAGGCCAGAGATGTAGGGGGGTGAGAGGATTCACCAGAGACAGAGTGGGAAGCAGAACAGGCAGACTGACTGAAACACACTGCTGAGGGGAGCAGCAGGCGAGACAAGAGAGATCTGCTGTGCCATGTGGGTAGCTCCCTGGCCAGCCAGGGATTGAACTTGCACTGCAGAAGCTACAGATTGCTTCATAGGGCGATGCTTAACTCCTTGCGCAACCAGGGAGGCCCTGTACACATATGTTATTTTGAAACTTCTTTTTGACATTTTCTCTTATCAAAAGAAATTCTTGCTAGTCGGATCACATATGCCTTTCTAAGTAAGGCGGCTACTGATTACCCATGGAATAACCACAAAAGGAGAGAGAGAAAAGGGTATTAAAAGAAGTTTGTTGATTTCTTTGGAAATGGCTTTTCCCTTGCAGAGCAGCTCAAGTAAATTTACAAAACATCAGAGGCACCCATATTTAAATTAAAAATATGCTCTAAGGCTTAATGTAACTGGTTATTTAAAAAGAAGTCGCCGATTTGGGATAATCTCTGCCCTAGTTACAGGTCAGTAAGAGTTGTTGACTGTCCTACACATTCCAACAAAATTGCCAAGTTGCCATTTCTGCATAGTAAGACACGCTATTCAAGTAAAGACTTATTAATAATAAGTCAAGCCAATAATTATTGGAATGTCTGTCTGTCTCAATAACACAAAGATCAAATTATAAATTTAAATTTCTGGGATGCTTTTACTAAACCTATAACTTAACATGATTGTGTTGGCCTGACCTTTAGCTCTGATATCAAAACTATTCATCTGCTTTGGAAATAGGATATGACATTTGCACACACTGATTACACCCTCAAGCAAGCACAATCATAACCTTCAGGAGGACAAATGGAGGCAGGTGGTAATCTCCCTACTTCCAAGGGTTAACCATTTAAGACCATTTTATAGCATTAATATCAAAGAGCTTAGATTTCTTATTGCGTAGAATATCATTGGTATTAACCAGTCAACAGAGTGATTCTCTCCTAGCGCTGCGTGGAATGCATAAAATCTACCTTTGCAAGGGCTGTGCGGGCCACTCCTTTTGTTTTCCCATAAGCTGTGACTCTGGCCGGCTGACTTAGTCATATATTCAAAAAACTCACACCCCATCCGCTGGGATGACCCCACTTTCACATCTTGCAGCTGTTTCCCAGGAAGGGTGTGGGTACTGGGAAACCCACCTGCCCCTTGGTGTTGCAGTTTCTGGAATACCAGGAGTTAATGCTCAGGAACACTGACTTGAGCCGGGCTGTACCACGCAGAAGTGTTCCTTGGCAACGAGGATGCAGAGTAAGGATTTGGTCTGGGAGAACACAGAGTACCCTCCAAATCCTAGTGGAAGAGAATTCCTAGGGGACCCTGGCAGGGGTTGCCTGAGCAGAGCCAAAGAGCCAGTGAGTGCTACCAACATACAGAACCTCATTAGAGAGGTTGCGACTGGGACTTGACCTTGGATTCCCCGTGAAGGTCATCCAGAGGTCTTACTCCAAACAATGTAGGGAGGAACTCCCAAGTCCTATATGGTTTGTAGACGCCTTCATAGCTTGTCCCCCCCACCCCAGAAGATGTAGCACGTTTCTGACCACTAACATCTAGTTTTATTTTAACTTTTGCAAAGTACCTGGATAGGGTTTTGTTTGTTTGTTTTTCGATCAAGTAAAGCAGTCATGGAGCTGCACTGGGTCTCATATCGTGACGTCTGCTTGGCATTGAAGGGCATGGCAGGGCCCACACTCACCTGCGGGAGATGGAGCGTGCAGTACTGGCCACGGAAGCGCCCGGTGGCCGTGAGGGCGGAGAGACACTCGCTGTAAGACCCCAGCCTGTCCACGTTCCCGTGAAGAACATTGCTCCCAAGTTTGCCGACGGAGTCATACACTGGATTTCAAAGCAGAAGTAGGCAGAGTTGGCTCTCTGTGTGGCATGCGAGTGATTTTTTTTTTTTTTTTTTTTTTTTTTGCCATTTAAAGTCTCTTGTCTATCTGATTATCTTTCTGGATTTTTTTTTTACAATTTCCTCAACTTTACCTTCTAGACCCTTCAAGTTCGCTGGAAAAATCAGAAGGACAGATACAGGCTGTTGCCACTCTTCAAGCCTGCATTTTGTACCCACAACCATTTCCTCATCCAGGTAGAACAATGACATGTGTTGGTTGCCTGGTCTGTTGAGGAGAAGTAGTGAAGGATTTAAAAGGATTTCCTTTCAAAACTAAATGTTTGGGGCAGCAATCCCACTGCCCATCTGTGACTATGCAGGTGCCTCTTTTCACCAACTCTCTCCCTCTGCAGGGCAGTAGCCTCCTGCCTTCCCATGACCTGTCAAGGCCACCTGTCTACAGCCATGCAGGCCTCTCTAAGCAAACCTGTCCCTTCTGGGCAGCTCTTCCTGCCTGCTTGTGTCTATGCAAGTGTCTTTAACTGTTTTATCCCTTCCATAATAAACCTGCTCTTTAAATATAACTAACTAAATAAATAAATGTTTGGTGAGAGGAAAAAGGTGCAACTAAAAGTGGGTAGCTTTTCTGTCTTCCCCATGCAGCCAAAAGAAAATACTCATGTCTTGAATGTGTTTGTCCAGTTCTGTGGGACTTACTTTGGAGAGAGCTATTTTTTCAAGGAGAGGAAGGATAAGAGGTCACCAGCTTCCACAGTAGTTGGTGGGCTAGGCCTGGTCTTGCAAAGCTCTTCTGTTTGTGGTTCTGCAGATCCTTCCTTCCTTCGCTATGAAAAAGTCATTTCAATCTCCTTCCTCTCTCCCTTTCTCTTTCTCTTCCTTCTGTTCCTCGCACCCCATGTGTCTCTCTCCTTTATCCGTGTTCCTGTTTGGAGCCGGTGCATTTGTAATGCGGGGAAGTGGCTAGGCACTTCAGCGCTCCTGGCTGCATCTTGCTGCACACTGCTGTTTAGGGCGGTGCTGGGCTCATTCGCCCAAGGTTCTAACCACTGGATAATGGTTTATCACATTTTAAACCTAGCTCTTCCTCGGCTGGAACACATACATGAACGTCAGCCCACAGAAGCACCGAGATGAACCTCAAGGCGTAGGATTTAGCTCAAACACTTACATCCGTGACCAGGATTGCTGCTGCGGGAGGCACAAACGCTGCCAGTCCCACCTTTGCATTCTGGACATGATGGCACATCCACACTGCCCAGGGCTCCTGGCTCGTGGCTGGTGGCTCCTGGCTCTTCTTGCCACCACCCCCCGCCGCCAACTTTCTCATTTTGGAGCAGTGAATAGATATAAAAGGATGTCCAGTTGTTGTCTGAATTTTCATATCTCTAATTACAAATAAGTCAGGATATTTTCGTTTGTTCATCAGCCATTGAAATGTCCTCGTCTATAAAGTACTGGCTTGTATCCTTTGCCCATTTTTAAATGATTTTTCTCCTTTTGATTTGCAAGGGCTCCCTGTTACTTTTTATGTTGGTCCTTGACTGTCTGCGTCATTGAAAATATCTACCGTCAGCGAGTTCTCTTTTGTCCTTCACTGGACAAAAATCCATACTTTTTGGGTAATCAAAACCATCAATATTTTGTCTTAGCGACTGTGCTTGTGTTTTGTTAAGAAATTCTTTCCCACCAGGGTCACAAAGAGACTCTAACATGACCTTCTTCTACTGTCTTCATAGTTTAGACACATTTAGACACAAAGATCATATTTAGATCTTTAATTCCTCTGTGTCTTGGGTGTGCTTTTCCCTCAAAAAAAAAAAAAAGAGTCAATATTCCCAAACCATCACTAAACCACTTTGCCTTTCCCTGTGAATTTTTGACGCCAGAGAAACCCCACCGACTGGGAGAACATTTTTGCACACAACACTAATGATAAAGGACTGATCACAAAAATCTACAAAGAGCTGACGAGACTCAACAACAACAAAGAATATAATCCAGTCAAAAAATGGGCAGAAGAGCTAAAAAGAAATTTCTCTGAAGAGGAAATGCAAATGGCCAACAGGCATATGAAAAAATGTTCAGCATCACTTGTCATCAGGGAAATGCAAATCAAAACTACCATGAGATACCATCTTACACCAGTGAGAATGGCACATATTAAAAAAACTAGCAACAACAAATGCTGGCGAGGGTGTGGAGAAAAAGGAACTCTTCTGCACTGTTGGTGGGAGTGCAAACTGGTCCAACCACTGTGGAGAGCTGTGTGGAGATTTCTGGACCTACTAAACATAGAGCTTCCATATGATCCAGCAATTCCACTCCTAGGAATTTACCCAAAGGACACAGAAACATCAATTCCAAAGAGCACCTGCACCCCTATGTTTATAGCAGCACTGTTTACAATAGCTAAGCTTTGGAAACAACCCAAATGCCCAAAAATAGATGACTGGATCAAGAAGATGTGGTCCATATACACCATGGAATATTACTCAGCATTCAAAAAAGATAAACACATGCAATTTGCAGCAACATGGATGGCGCTGGAAGGGATCATGCTCAGCGAAATAAGCCAGAAAGAAAAAGAAAAATACCGGATGGTCTCACTCATAGCAGGAATCTAGAAAACTTAAATAAGGGACCAGGAAAAAGAATATAAGAAAATGGGCCTCCCCGGTGGCGCAGTGGTTGAGCACTGGGTTGCGAAGCTGCCCGCAGCCTCTGCAGTGCCGGTTCGATCCCCGGCTGCTCCCCGGCCACCAGAGGAGGGTCCCACATGGCGCGCAGACCCCTCCTGCCGCCCGCTGCTCCCCCCAGCAGTGTACCTCGGTCCTTATGCCTGCTCTGCTCCCCGCTCTGGCTCTGGTGAATTCTCTCACCCTCCCGCGCTTCTGACTATACCCAGTGCTTGTATAAATAAATAAATAAATCTTAAAAAATAAAAAAATAAAAAAAAAAGAATATAAGAAAGAAAATATCAAAATCAACAAGCAACTATGAACCAGAGATACTCTATGGCGGGTGTGGGGGTGGGGAAAGGAGGGCTTGGGGTCAAAATAAGGGGGTTGCAATTGTATGGGGAATATAAAAATAAAATTTAAATTAAAAAAATTTTTGATGCCATTTTCTTCTTACATCAGAGTCTCTTATCTAATGATCACCCATGAGCTCTGTTTTGTTTGTTCTAGTCACGACCAGCTACATCACCATTGCACCATTTATTTGTTCTAGTCACAGCCAGCTACATCACGGCTAATGCAAAAGGAAGGCACAGGGCCTCTTGTTTAAAATGTATTAAGAATTTCAAGATGGTGACAGTAAATACAATTAAAGCAAACACAAAGCCCTTTTAAGTGTGGGAGACTTTGAAGGGCAAAGGTCACATACCTCTGAAGCCAATCCAGCCTTTAATACCAGAACCATATGGCTTTTATTATGATGGATTTGTAGCTGCTTGAGTATTTTGCCTTTAGTCTTCTTTTTCAAATTTGAGTTAGATATTTCTGGACCATTACTCATTCACACAATTTTCAGCACATGTTTATTGAACAGCTCAAACCATCCAGTTAGAATATTGATTGAAATTGCTTCAAATTTATAGATTCTATGGGCGAGGGAGAATTGACATAATTTTTATAAATCATCATTGGAAGTCATGCGATTTATTTAACTCTGTTGTGTCCTTATGATTTTACATTTTTTCCTTGGTGGACTTAAAACAGATTACATAAACAATTCCTAAAGGGTATATGGTTGGTTACTTTCCTTGGTATTTTATTCTAATTATATAGACTCATGGATGGTTGCTGGTGTGGATACAGGCTATTGAATTGTGTCATTTGTTCTGGTACCTGGGAAACTGGTTGAACTTCTAAGTGCTGCTTCTTTCTTCTTCACTTTTCGTCTGTTGTCGATCTGATTATCTTTCTCTCTGGATTTTTTTTACAATTTCCTCATTGTTTTTAATGTTCTTAATTTTTAACACAGTCCGGAGATATAGTCAGGTCTGAATTCTTTATCACAAAGCTTCAACATTCTAAAAACAATTTCAGCCTTTTGGCTCTGGTCCTTCTTTAATTCTATAGAAAATACTGCTACTCTGTTAAATAGTTCCTTCCTTCATTTGCTTTGTTATGTTTCTCCTGTTTCCTATCATCCAACTGTTGGCACCTCCAGTCTCAAGTCTCTTAGTTTTTCTTTTTCATTCTCTTATCCTTTCCTGTTGTTTTTGCAAGGTCTCCCATCTTCTGGTGCACTGATTCTTCTTAGATCATCCCAACCATTGTGTTTTTATTTCAATGGTGCTATCTTTACTACCTACACGTTCCTCTTGACTATGGGCTTCAGTGGAGGTTGTGGAGACATGCCTCTGTTCCCCGAAATCACAGAGTGTTGTAAGGAGAAAAGTCCTCTTCACTTTTCTGGATGATTTCTTGTTCAAGCCTTGCATCACCAGTATTGTCCCTTATCCCTTTGATTTTATGTCTTGTGCCTGTTTGAAGTCCTCAGTGCCCCGTCTGTTCCAATAACTCAGCTTCCTATAGAAAATATATTGCTTCAGTAGACTGTCATCCTTTCATTCTCTCCCTCCTCAGGGATGTAGGCATTTGGCCTTTGTTAGAACAGGGCATGGGGGGAGCGTGAAGAGTTGCTCAAGAGGCGCAGAGCACAGAGCCAACTCCACAGACTCACTGCCAGTCCCATTGGCTGCTCTGCCTGGCAGCTCCTTCAGTCTGGAATCTTCCATCAAATACTAAGGAGACATAATGTCATGAGTCTGATATCCACACTCCCTAAGGGTGCATGCTCAGAACATTCTGGGCCCACAGAGCCGGGGAAGTGGGGTTTAGGGGGGTGTGCCCTGATGATGCATGCCTCTGTAAGGCTGCCCTGGCTGTTGTGGATTTCTCCTTCAATGGCTTTGGTTTTTTAAAGGTTGGGTTGTCCTAGAATCACCTAGAGGGCTGATAAAAAAAATTGC